AGATGACTTTCAGTAAAATGAACGCCTGTATTGGCAGGAACATAAATTGCATCTAATCAAGATACAGCACAGTATGAACAGTATTGTCTATTTTTGTACCCCCCACCCGCCAAAAAAACAAAACCCCAAACATATTTTGTCTGTCTCTCTCGTGGTCTTTATTTTTTAAAACAGCAAAAAGAATTATAGCTAAAGGAATATATAGGGATAAAAATATGGGCATGACCATTGCTGAGTAATTCCAAGGGTCAGATATCATTCTATAAATGAAGGTAAAATCCTTCTGTGTGCATCGGCCCCCCCAGCCCCCCTAATACTTACCTGAGCCCCATCCTGATCCAGTGATGTGCACGAGAGCCTCAGCTCTCTGGGGACTCTCCCTCCTCTTTGGTTTAGACAGCTCTGGGGACACTTGGAAAGAGAGCGGGGCCAGGAGTGCTGGTGGGGGACCCAAGAAGAGGAGTATTGAGGATGCTCTATGCAAAACCACTGCACAGAGCAGGTTAGTATAACATGTTTGATATTTTTTTTATTTTTTTGTAATTGCCTTCAATATCACTTTTACCTCTTCCTGTCCACCCATTGCATATAGACAGTGGATGGGAAGCTTTATCGATGCCGGCTAACGTACCTGTATGTCAGCCCACATCGGCGGCTCCTGCGTGGCTCAAAAGAGCACATGCCTGGAAGCCCGGCGATCTGGGTGTTGCCCAGACACAGCGAATCACATTACCACTGTGTCCGAGTGATCACATGGTGTTTTACCATGTGACTGCTGTGACCAATCACAGCACTCACATTGTAAACACTGGAAAGTGAAACTAAAGATTGTGGGATAAGCGATCCTGCAGCCTGTGAGTGTATAGCAGCCTTTCAGGCTGCTTGTACACTCACAGACTGTAGTGCCAACCAGCCCAGTGTCCCAGTTTAGCACCCAAGTGTCTCTGGTCAGTGCTCCAGTATTTTCATCATAAATAATGCAGCCAGCCCTCTCCTGTCTCCTGTCACAGTGAGCACAAAAAAAAACCCCATACACCATGCTAATGTCCTGATCACTGCCATACCCTATACCAACACCCTGATTACCACCATATGCCATATCAGCACCTTTATTACCGCCATAGGCCATACCAGCACCCTGATCACTGCCATACCCCATATCAGTATCCTAATCACCGCCATACCCCATACCAGCATCCTGATCACTGTCATACACCATACCAGTGCCCTGATCACCACCATACCCCATACCAGCATCCTGATCACCGCCATACCCCATACCAGAGCCCTGATCACTACTATACCCCATACTAGTGTTTTGGTCACCGCCATACCCCATAGCAGCATTCTGATCACTGCCATATCCCATACCAGCATCCTGATCACTGCCTTACCTCATACCAGCATCCTAATCACCCTCATACCCCACACCAGCATCCTGATCACCATCATACCTCATGCTAACGTCCCGTTCACTGCCATACCCCATACCAGCGTCCAGCATTTTAGTGTCTCAACTGATCAATTTTAAAATATATATATCCCATAGTTTGTAGACTCGTAGCTTTCTCACAGACTAAATAATTTACACTGTTTTGGGTTATTTTAGCCCAAAAATGTAGCAGAATACATTTTGGCCTAAAGTTATGAAGAAAAATTATTTATTTGCAAAATTTTATAACAAAAACTAAGCAAAAAATATATTTTTTTTAAATTTTTGCTATTTTTTTTTTCATTTTTATATAGCAAAAAATAAAAAAAAAAAACAGTGGTGATCAAAGTACCACTGAAAGAGAATCTGCTCTGTCAGTCTAAAAAAAAGGATAAAAATTTCATATGGGTACAGTGTTTCATGACTAAGTAATTGTCACTCAAAGTGTGATAGTGCATAAAGCTGAAAATTGGCCTGGACTGGAAGGGGGTGAAAGTGTCTGGACTTGAAGTGGCTAACTCCTTGGATAAGATATCAAGTACACAGGTAACTGCCTTACAGGAAAGTAAAATAACTGTGCAGTTCAGCAAAGTTGAAAGCAAAGCCTGTGTAGGCGTTAAATGTGGCTATCCCCTTATACATATACTGTATAATTCCATAATATACACTTAAAGGGTTTTAAATCATTAAAACGCATTGATAGGATTGTTTACATAGAGTTGATATTTTTATATAGATTGCATATTTGAAATCAATTTAAAGAACATGCCTGTTCACATAGATTCAAAACAAGGGTGTAAACAAGGATTCTGAATATTCCTGTGTAACTTTGTGACTGTTGTGATGATCAGTGGAAAACCATTTTGGACTGCGGATGCTATTTTCACTCTCTTATTCTGTTTTCATTTTTTCTGCATTTTTTTCCAATTAAAAAAAAATTATAATAGTAAGAAATTCTGCTCTAGATTACTAAGATTTTTTTTTTAAGTTTTTGTGTTTTCTTTGAGGGGGTTCAGTTCACATTGAGCACCGTGCCTGTATGACTTTTATTGGTGTCCCTCAACCCTAACATTTCCAAAAAAAAAAGGGCTTAAACAAATCATGAGTACAGTAAATCCCTACAAACTTTGAAAACAAATTTGACTGAAAGGTTGTGGTGGGTATTGTTTTGTAGACAATTCATAAGCTCTCATTTCACTCTTGACCCAAAGCCTTTTCGACATTTAAGTTATTTTCTTGGCAAATCCTTTAGCATTTAAAAAAGCAAATATACTCAGCAGTGTTAGTTGACAGCTGACAAAGTAGGAAGGAATACTAAAAATATTGTAGGAGAAGAGAATACTTCTAATTATTAGACTTGTCATTGAAGTGTCATCATAAGTTGTATTTTACAGAAAGGAAACAAGAGGCTGGAAAATGCCAGAAAATAACAAAACACTTGTCACAGAAACAGAAAGCAACTCCCCAAAGGAGCTGTACAGGCTGCTTTAATACACAGTTAAAATGTCACCAAAATGACTGTCTCCTCCTGAGTAAGCATGTGCTAGAACAGTTGTCACTACAAGCTATCTAGAGGTATACTCACAAATCTATGAAAAATTATTTAGTGATGATTACTTAAAGTGACACTGTTTCTGAATTAAAAAAAACCCATAAAAATGGCAATCCCTGCAAAGAAAAGAATTAATACTTACCGTATTTTTCGCACCATAAGACGCACTTTTTTCCCCCCAAAAAATGGGGGAAAATGTCAGTGCGTCTTATGGAGCGAATATGGAGCGGCCGGTCCGGTATTTCCACCGCCACCGTGTCAGAATACCGGGCCGGCCGCTCAGCTCTACAGCGGGACCTTATAGAGATGACTGCTGACCTTTGGGGAGGGGGGGGAGCGGGTACCTGAATTTGACAGATACCCGCTCCCACTTCCGTGGAGTTGTTCTTTCATCTTACCCGTTCCTCTATCCAGCGGCGCGGTCTTCAAGGCTTCTGTAGTGTGGGCATGACAGCCGGGTGCCAAGTGCGCATGCGCAGGAAGCGGTGCTTTTTGTGAATGGTAAGGCGGCACCTGGGACACATGACAGATCCCAGAAGCCGCCGGACCAATCACAAAGCGCAAGTGCTTCTCGCTCATGCGCACTGGGCACCCGGCTGTCATACCGAGCGCCATTACAGAAGCCGGGAAAGACAGCGCGCGGCTGGATAGAGGAACAGGTAAGATGAAAGAACAACTCTGCGGAAGTGGGAGCGGGTATCTGTCAAATTCAGGTACCCGCTCCCCCCCTCCCCAAAGGTCAGCAGTCATCCCCTGTACTATCCAAAGTCTCTGGTCATCCCTATGCTGTCCGCAGTCTCTGGTCATCCCTGTGCTGTCCGCAGTCTCTGGTCATCCCTGTGCTGTCCGCAGTCTCTGGTCATCCCTGTGCTGTCCGCAGTCTTTGGTCATCCCTGTACTGTGTCCGCAGTCTCTGGTCATCCCTGTACTGTGTCTGCAGTCTCTGGTCATCCCTGTACTGTGTCCGCAGTCTCTGATCATCTCCTGTACTGTGTCCGCAGTCTCTGGTCATCCCTGTACTGTGTCCGCAGTCTCTGGTCATCTCCTGTACAGTGTCCGCAGTCTCTGGTCATCTCCTGTACAGTGTCTGCAGTCTCTGGTCATCTCCTGTACTGTGTCCGCAGTCTATGGTCATCTCTTGTACTGTGTCCGCAGTCTCTGGTCATCTCCTGTACTGTGTCCGCAGTCTCTGGTCATCCCCTGCACTGTGTCCGCAGTCTCTGGTCATCCCTGTACTGTGTCCTCAGTCTCTGGTCATCCCTGTACTGTCCGCAGTCTCTGGTCATCTCCTGTACTGTGTCCGCAGTCTCTGGTCATCTCCTGTACTGTGTCCGCAGTCTCTGGTCATCTCCTGTACTGTGTCCGCAGTCTCTGGTCATCCCCTGAACTGTGTCCGCAGTCTCTGGTCATCCCCTGAACTGTGTCTGCAGTCTCTGGTCATCTCCTGTACTGTGTCCGCAGTCTCTGGTCATCTCCTGTACTGTGTCCGCAGTCTCTGGTCATCTCCTGTACTGTGTCCGCAGTCTCTGGTCATCTCCTGTACTGTGTCCGCAGTCTCTGGTCATCCCCTGAACTGTGTCCGCAGTCTCTGGTCATCCCCTGAACTGTGTCCGCAGTCTCTGGTCATCCCCTGAACTGTGTCTGCAGTCTCTGGTCATCTCCTGTACTGTGTCCACAGTCTCTGGTCATCTCCTGTACTGTGTTCGCAGTCTCGTGTCATCTCCTGTACTGTGTCTGCAGTCTCTGGTCATCTCCTGTACTGTGTCCGCAGTCTCTGGTCATCTCCTGTACTGTGTCCGCAGTCTCTGGTCATCTCCTGTACTATGTCTGCAGTCTCTGGTCATCTCCTGTACTATGTCTGCAGTCTCTGGTCATCTCCTGTACTGTGTCTGCAGTCCATCAGTTCAGAATTTTTTTTCCCTGTTTTCTGCCTCTAAAACCTAGGTGCGTCTTATGGAGCGAAAAATACGGTACCTGTCCCACTGTCTACCCTAATGATCTGCATTTAAAGTGTTACTAAACCCACAACAGTAAAATCAGTCTGTATATGCAGTAATGCATGCTTGTTATACTCACTGTGGAGCCTGAGGGGTTAATCCTTGGCACTGTGTAAATAGGCCGCTTGATTCTTTCTTCTCTGTTCCTCCCCTTATTTAAGCGACCACACCTCTTATCTCTTGATAAGACAGACTGCACGGTAGGCATTTTGCACATGCTCAGTTTGGTGTGTATTGCTAGAAAGGTTTTTTTTTTTTTCCTAGAGAAAGTGCATGTGATCAGCACAGGGCCAATCATCACTGGTCAGACAGAGGTCAGGGGTTCTGTATCTCACTAGAGCAAAATGGAAAACTCCTACAAACTGTAGCTAGTGCTTGGCTGAACACTGATAGAAGCCACAAGACTGCTCTAACTGATGAGAAGAGGCATTTAGCAGTTTACATTTACTAACATAATTACATTTCCATGTATTTGTGTACTGTGGGAGAACAGATATAGTGAATGCAGGGTCCTGGGTTTAGTAACACTTTAACACAAGTACATATACAATATGCTGGATGCCTGGTCCCCCACTGCCTTCTGTGGTTCCTTTCACTGTCCCCTAGTCACTGCTGTGTCCTAATCTGAAGTCACCTTTAGCCCTCATACACACTTGACCTTTTGATAATGCTGGTAACGTTAGCTGTGTAAAGTCATGTTAAAAACTTAAGTTTTTCAGCTTTTCTTTAGTGTTTTTGCATTAGCGTTTAGCGGTGTTTTGCCGTGATTAGCAGTGTTTTGCCGCATTTTTCCGTGTTTGCATGTTTTAGCTTTTTTTGGGTCACAAAAAGTCCAAAAAAGGCCGACTTGCGGCGTTTTACCATGTTTTCCCACGTTTTTCCAGCATTAGGGTGTTTTTACAGCTAAAAAACTCCTCTAGAAACCCACTAGTTTGTGGGGGTTTTTTCCAGCCAAAAAACGTTGAATACAGTCTATGTGTGCATGGACACATAAGATAACATGCTGGGGAGTTTACTGACTGTAGAAAAAAACATCAAACGCCAAAAAGAGCAGCTGTAAAAACGTCAAGTGTGCATGAGGGCTTAAACCTTGCTTGTATCAAAGCGATTTCTCATTCTGTGAATGAGGCTTGTAGTTTTCAATGAACTACCACAGCGCTGCATTTATTATTTTTGTCCAAAAGGTGAACTTATCCTTTAAAATGGTTTTACCAGACAGGAGCTAAAATCACGCTTAAAGTGGAGTTCCACTCACGGTGTCAAAAAATAAAAGTCAGTAGGTACAAAAACTGTAGCTGCTGACTTTTAAAAAACACACACTCACCTGTCCCTCGGTCCTGCGGTGTGTCCCCTGCAACCCGTTTTACTGGCCGCCTTCTCTCCTGGCGCCGGTATCTTCAGTGTGGGCACCAGGCTGTGACAGCTTGCGGTACCCACTGCACATGCGCGAATAGCGTTGAGCTTCCTGAATGGTCCTGTAGTCTTCTGGGACCTGTCACGTGTCCCAAAAAACTATGGGGAGGGAGGAAAGTGGGAGCGGGTACCTGTCCCCCCCCCCCCGCTCCCCAAAGGTGCCAATCCTTAATGGGTAGTGGGGGACCAGTCTTTAAAGCGGAACTTCCCCTTTTGGGTGGAGCTCCACTTTAACAATATCCTTATCCTCCAAAATAATTCATACACTTCCACCTGTAAATAATAATGTTAAACCCTTGGGGCTGAGTGTACGCAAATATGCGGCCTCTCGGCGGCTGGGCCTTGGTGCCGAGGGGCCACATATTTACGCATCTAATGAACACAAAACACCGGTGCCTCACGGAAAGGTCCCAATTGCTACTTGCAGTTGGGAGCTTTCTGATCATGTGAGCGCCTTGACAGCCAATCAGGGTGGTCACATGACCCTAAACCCCCCCAGCGTCACAAACCATTAAAGGTGTGGGTGCCAAGGGGTTAATAACAATAATAATAAAATAATAATAATAACTGATACACATTCACTACTTAATAACCCTGTAATCTGTTTTTTTTTTTATTAAATTCTTACTGTTTTTCTACCTCCCTGTACTGTTCTCTGTGAGCTCCTGAACCTTTTCCCCTCCTCAATTCTGGTTGTTTGGAACAGCCAGCACACTAATGGTGGTCATGTGCAGTACTCTTTGCACACCAAAAAATCCTAGTCCCTAGTTCATCTTGGCAGAGAGCAAGAGAGTGTGCCTACATTCCTACATACAGTGGGACAACAGATAATGAAAGTAGCCACCCTCTAACAGAAGGTTAAGAACACATGCAGTGCCTTGAAAAAGTATTCATACCCCTTGAAATTTTCCACATTTTCTCATGTTACAACCAAAAACGTAAATGTATTTTATTGGGATTTTATGTGATAGACCAACACAAAGTGGCACATAATTGTGAAGTGGAAGGAGAATGATAAATGGTTTTCAAAAATGTTTACAAATAAATATGTGAAAAGTGTGGCATGCATTTGTATTCAGCCCCCCCCAGTCAATACTTTGTAGAACCACCTTTCGCTGCAATTACAGCTGCAAGTCTTTTTGGCGATGTACAGCTAGAGAGTGAAATTTTTGCCCATTCTTCTTTGCAAAATAGCTCAAGCTCTGTCAGATTGGATGAAGAGCACCTGGGAACAGCAATTTAAGTCTTGACACTGATTCTCAATGGGATTTAGGTCTGGACTTTGACTGGGCCCTTCTAACACATGAATATGCTTTGATCCAAACCATTCCATTGTAGCTGTGGCTGTATGTTTAGGGTTGTTGTCCTGCTGGAAGGTGAACCTCTGCCCCAGTCTCAAGTCTTTTGCAGACTCTAACAGGTTTTCTTCTAAGATTGCTCTATATTTGGCTCCATCCATCTTCCTATCAACTCTGACCAGCTTCCCTGTCCCTGCTGAAGAAAAGCATCTGCACAACATGATGCTGCCACCACCATGTTTCACGGGGCGGATGATGTGTTCAGGGTTATGTGCAGTTTTGGTCTCATCTGACCAGAGCACTTTCTTCCACATGTTTGCTGTGTCCCCCACATGGCTTCTAGCAAACTGCAGACGGGACTTCTTATGGCTTTCTTTCAACAATGGCTTTCTTCTTGCCACTCTTCCATAAAGACCAGATTTGTGGAGTGCAAAACTAATAGTTGTCCTGTGGACAGATTCTCCCACCTGAGCTGTGGATCTCTGCAGCTCCTCTAGAGTTACCATGGGCCTCTTGGCTGCTTGCCTGGCCTATCAGTTTAGGTGGACAGCCATGTCTTGGTAGGTTTGCAGCTGTGCCATACTCTTTCCGTTTTCGGATGATGGATTGAACAGTGCTTTCTGAGATGTTCAAAACTTGGGATATTTTCTATAACCTAACTCTGCTGTAAATGTCTCCACAACTTTATCCCTGACCTGTCCGGTGTGTTCCTTCATGATGCTGTTTGTTCACTAATGTTCTCTAACAAATCTCTGCGGGCTTCACAGAACAGCTGTATTTATACTGAGATTATATTACACACAGGTAGACTCTATTTACTAATTAGGTGACTTCTGAAGGCCATTGGTTCCACTAGATTTTAGTTAGGGGTATCAGAGTATGGGGGCTGAATACAATAGCATGCCACACTTTTAAGATATTTATTTGTAAAACATTTTGAAAACAATTTATCATTTTCCTTCCACTTAATAATTATGTGCCACTTTGTGTTGATCTATCACACAAAATCCCAATAAAATACATTTATGTTTTTGGTTGTAACATGACAAAATGGAAAATTTCAAGGGGTATGAATACTTTTTCAAGGCACTGTAGTTTAACCACTTGCTCTCCTGAGGATTTACCCCCCTTCCTGACCAGGCCATTTTTGAGTTATAGCGCTGTGTTACTTTAACCGACAATTGTGCGGTCATGCAACGCTGCACCCAAATTAAACTAACGTCCTTTTTTTTCCCACGAATTGAGCTTTCTTTTAGTGGTATTTGATCGCCTGTGCATTTTTATTTTTTTCCGCTATAAAAAAAAAAACGTCGAAAACTTTGAGAAAAAAACTATGTTTTTGACTTTTTGCTCTTAAACATGTCCAGTAAAAAAAATTTAAAAAGTAAAATTTCATCATAAATTTAGGCCAAAATGTATTTTGCTACATGTTTTTGCTAAAAAAAAAAATCCCAATATGTGTAAATTAATTGGTTTACGTGAAAGTTATAGTGTTTACAAACGGTGGTATGTATACTGGAATTTTTTGTGTGATTTTTAAGTCAGCGACTTATAGCGGGACTGTGGGAGCATTCTGACACTGGGGGGAACTGACTTGGTGTCACTGACATCCCTAGTGACACCAATACAGTGATCAGTGCTAAAAAAAACACTGACACTGTATTAATGACACTGGGCAGGAAGGGGTTAACATGAGGGGTGATCAAAGAGTTAACTGTGTGCTGTATGTGTTCTACTATAAGGCCGTGTGTTTGTGCTTCACTGTAAGCACACTGCTATGTTTGAATGTGTTGTGCACAGCCATGCAAAGCAGTGTGCATGAACTGACAGGGAGAATTGTTTTGTTTACAAACAGTTCTCCTCCCCGTCGGAGATCCTTGGCAATCACCGCGCACCGGCGAGTAATCACTGGCCGGGACCCGATGATTGACAGCCATGGCCACGAATGCGCCCCCCCCACCCGGAATGCCTCATGCACGCCCCCTGCCCGGAAGTGAAACTTCACGCATATATACACGATTTTTGTGCAGCGATGCCACCCTGTATTAGTATTTTTGCTATAAGGCAGAAAGCAGTTAATATCATTTTTTTTTTTTAAAGCAGAGGTTAGTGTCACTTTAATTGGTGAGGTGAGATGATTTTATGGGTTGGGGCAACCATGGCATCATGACATCTCTATACTCTACCTGTGATGTTACTGTCATTGTAGGTCATGGAAAGTCTCAAATACAGGAATAATTATGAGGAAGACCCAGTACCCTACATCTACTCTGGAGGGTTGTGTCTGAAACATTCATAAGTGTTCCTGTTTGTAGCATCAGGACACAACAATCTCTAGAGTGACTTTTTCCATGCAGTGTATAGTGCATGTCAGACCTGCCCTCCAGCCATATGAGCAGAACAGCTTATCTTTTTATCAACAAACAATAAAAATTGTTTGATGATTTCCCAAAATGTATGATTGACAATCCGATCCTATTGGTGCCGCATGAGCTTCACCCTGTACATCTGTCACTGTGACACTTATGAAGGCACTTTACTGTAGAATATAGACATACGTAATTTTGTTCCTGTGTTTTTAGTTCAGCGCAAATATGTTATTATCATATTTCACCGATCTGTTGTTAGTTC